TCTCCCTCTCCTCTTTCCCTTTCTTCCTTAGTTTCCCTCCTTTAAGATGGCGAAGAGTGAGAGATGGGAAAATTGAGAGCTCATTCCAGATCTTTCAAATAACTGATTGTGAAACCTGCCTCCTTTCACGGACCTCAGCGCTAGCCAAGTCCATGACAATTCTACAAGTAGTCAGGGATAGGTATAAAGACCTAGTCACAAGGCTGTGCATAAAGTGCTGGGTATAACAGAATATGAAACTAATTTAAACATCCATCATGGGAATATTGACCAACTTAATAATGGTACATCCAAAGAATGCAATACTGTGCAGCTGGAAAATAACATTGCAGAACAGTTGAAGTGAAAATATAGTCAAACAAGAATGACTCATAATCTATCATGATAGAAGTTAGAATAAAGGCTTCTTCTGGGAAGGATTTTGAGAAGGGGGTATGGGAACCTTCTTGGATGCTGGAAAAGCTCTATCTCTTAATCTTAATTCACAAGTCCGCACATGTAAAAATTTATTGAGTTGTATAATTAATATGCACTTTATATATGTTATGCCTCAATAAGGTTTTTAAAAAGATAGTCAAGCAGAAAAAAAGTACTAAACAATATGATCCTATTGTTAAAAGAAAAAATACAATTTAACATATGACAGCCGTTTTCACCTCAAACTTTTTTCATTGTCTCGGGACCACTTTACACACAAATTATTGAGGATCCCAAAGAGCTTTTGTTTTAGTGGGATTTATCGATACTTACCATGAATATTAAAAATACCATGAACATAGAAATGTTTAAAACACAACACACAATTTCTATTAGCCATCAGAGCAATAAAATCAGCATGTGTCATGTAGCCTCTGGAAAACTTTTTTGTCCACTCTGAGAGAGTGAGACAGGCAAGTAACATCTTAGTGTTATAATGAAAGTAATTTTGACTTTGGGGTTGTCTCAGAAAACCCAGTGGTCCCTGCACCTCACTTTGAGAACCGCAGGCATAGGGATTAAATAATGGAGAAAAATAAACTACATGATAATTATTTTCAGTACTGGGATTATAATTTATTTGTATTTGCTTCACTGTGCTTTTCATTTTAAAAAACTGGAAAATAAACGACCACGGATTGCTTTTGCAAACAAAAAACAAGACAATAAACCTGTCTCCGTAAGACTGTTGAAAGGCCCAAACAGTAATAACATATTTCTCTGTGTGAAAAAAAATAAAAGAAGCCATAACCTGAAAATAAGAGTCTAATTTCTGTGTCAATCCCTGGCCTGTAAATGAAAGGTCTTGCCCTGAAAAGCTCCACCGTCCGGCTTGGGGAGAGAATGTAAGTGCATACACAAGTGTGTTACAAGATAATAGAAAGTAAACGTACCGAGGACCCCAAATACAGCAGCTGCATCCTACACAGTATTGCAAACTCTGGCGTGGAGCAGAAACACCCAGCACATCCACAAATCGCTCCAACGCGGATTCTAGCTTCGGACGCATGCGCTCTGCACACGCAGAGGGAGGCGAGGCTTAAAGGAGACTGACACTGGGCTTGGCCTCTCAACACTAAAACTCCGCCCCCTATCCTGCCTCCCTCTCTGAGTGGCTGTAAGACTGCGAAGGCTAACTTTCCATTGGCCGTCAGAAGGAACACTGACATCCGGTTGCGCGTCGGGCGCGGAAGGCACCATGGTGCGGTTCAAGCACAGGTAAGCGGTACCTGCTCGGCCCCTCAATTCCCTCTCTGACTGGTGCCCGCCGCTCTGGCCCCGCGTTCACCTCCCTCTTGCCCGGCACAGGTACCTGCTCTGCGAAGTGGTGTCTGACGACCCCCGCTGCCGCCTGAGTCTGGATGACCGAGTGCTGGGCGGCCTCGTACGGGACACTATCGCCCGCGTGCACGGTACTTTCGGCTCGGCCGCCTGCTCTATCGGCTTCGCAGGTGCGAGGGTGCTGGGGAACCCGGCGGACGGCAAAATTTGGAGGGCACAGGGGTCGAAGGAAGGATTAAGAAGGGGCACGAGCGACCCCAGGAGCTGCCAAGCTCTGTGCACCATCCTCTGTATGATATCGTCCTCTTTCGGCGTTTGGGACCCCGAGCCCCGGGTCTGGACGAATCCAAGATTAGGAGGAAAGCTAATAGCAGAAAGCAATGGAACTTAAGGAATTCCCTGTACCTCTTCGACATATGTATAGTGGGGATTGTGACTGTTTTAATAGGATAGTTAGAATTAAATGAGGGGATCCGTGTACAGTTCCGAGTAAATTGTTTGACTGGTCACGTTGACATCACAGGGGGAAAAAACCTGTTGTCAGAATTACTCATGAAAAGCCCTTAATAGGGCCGGTAAAGTACAGAACAAATTGTGCATGCAAATGAAGAGGGCCTTCCACAGTATCAAAATGTTCCCTCCTTTACCATGTGCTCGAAATGGAATCCCCGGGGAATTAAATGAACAAAGGTACAATTATACATCAGGTTCTAGTTGGGTGCTACCAGATTCTAGTTGGGTGCTACCAGAACCTACCGAGCCTATATGCACTAGAATCTTTCATTCAGCCAAGAATTTTCTTCTGAAGATGGATCTCCGTGCCCCCGCCCCCCCCATTCCATTCATTAATTAGTGAATTAGAAGAGAATTTAAAACTCTAAATCA